CTACTATTTCCAGAATTTTTATAAACTATCCACCCCTAGCTACCGTCTGTATGACGTCGAAGGCCCGAGGGTTGTCACCGGAAAAACCGAAAGTTTTGTAACCAAGTAGATAAAATTTTATTGGTAAATTCCTTTTTTTAAGTTCTGGAGATTGCAGAGTGCATTTGGTAGATTGCAGAATAATTATTTATTATTTTTTTCTTTGTTTTAAATCAATTATACAATTTTAATGAATTTACCTGGTAAAAGAATAATATTTGAGATATCTATTATTATAAATTTAATAAAGTTTTACAAATACATGTTCCTACTATAGTGAGAAAATGTTGCCAAGTATTCATAGAAATTTCCAGGTACAGAATTTTTTTTTTATTTACATTAGACTGAGTAAGTCTAAATAAATTAGTGTAAATTTTCTTTACATTATATTTAATTTTGTTATATTTGTTATTTAACTTCGCTTTGGTCGATTAAGTATAATTTTATTTAAGGCATTATATTGGGGTTTAAAAATCCGTTACAGTTTACACTGTAATTCTTGGAATTCTTGAAAAAGGGACCAAGAAAAATCAACTAAGGAACTCCACAGAGAGGGTTCATTACAACATTCTATATAAAAAGAAATATAGGTCGATGTATATCGAAAGGTTTTTTTTTTGTTATCGACATCATCGGCAAGTTAATCACTTCGGAGTTTAGGGTTGCCAGTAGATACATCGCATCAGGATATGCCAAACAAAGTAAAATCCGCAAACTGACATATATTTCATGTACGTATAAAGCGCAGAAGAACTAAAAGAAAATCGGTGAATTTTACTTTTTGCGAAACATCAAACATGACTCTTTTTAAATATAAAGCCCTTCCGATTTTATTTTTAGATGGGGCATCTACGTCGGCAATTTTTATACAAGAAGCAGAAAAACTGAAATAAAATAAGAACGAAAAGCTGAACGATTAATAGAATGACACACCGTGCAACACTTTTAAACAATTTTGTACTGTACCTACACCAATTACAATCAGTGGCGTAACTAGAGATGACTCATGGGAGGGAGTTACCCCCACCAGTCAACCAGTCCAACATATTGTTATTTCAGAAGTTAAATATAAAATATATAAATAAAAAATTGCGATCGTTCCCCACTCTACAGAAGTTTATACACAATTATTTAGGACAATCTAAATTCAAGTCGGTGCGGAGAGGTGTTTTTGCTAACTTGTCTAAACTAGCAGTGATATCTAGCTCTCTGTTGATATTAAGCATAGCAAGCCCGTTTAACCTTTGCTGTCCAGTTGTGCTCCTTAAGTAAGCTTTCAGTCTTCGTAGAGACGAAAAGGACCTTTCACTAGTGCTTGTGGACACATGAAAAGTGGCAAGAATTTTCATAAAGGTGTTCATAGTGGGGAAAACATCCTTATGGCAGGCAGTGTCGTAACTAATTACTTTCCTTGAGCTGATTTTCAAATCTTTTACTCTCTTGTACCACATATGAAGTTCTCCAATGGCAGCAACATCACTAATTTGTATATCTTCTTGATAGAAATTCAGTAGTTTTTTAAACTTTCTTCCTGTATTTTGGTGGCTTCAGCATTGCTGGTAGGCATTAGATTCTCAAAACTTCCCAGTACTTCTTCATGTTTTAGAAAACGACGATTTAATTCACTTAAAAAGGAATTCAAAAATATGGAAATCCTAAAATATGATTTAGAAGTGTCTGTTTCAATGGTGCACCTCTGTTTGTCTTCCAGTTCTTCTTGGGGTTTTTATTGCGGAACTAAGTAATTCAGCAATAGTCTTTGATAGTTTATATATTGTTACAAATTCTTGTTCAGCATTTGATCTCACTTTCTCTATCCCTTTAAGATTGTGCATGGCATCCAAAAGATCGATATCTTCATGCTGCAAAGATCGAGCAAGGGGTAAGTTTAAGGAAAATACTTTACCCATCACCTGTAAACGGATTATAAAGAATGAACATAATTGCACGTATAGCAAGGTTTAAGCTATGGGATTCACAATGGACATATATTGCAGTCGAATGCTATTTTGTTACATAGGCTTGTTTCCTCAAAAAATTTGTATCGATTCCAAACTCCCGTAAGGAATTTAAACTGATTGTCACAAAGTTCTTACCTATTAAATCAGAAACAGGTACAAACTGAAGGAAATCTTCTCTAACGCCATTATTATGTAGGTATCTCACGCCGATTGATGCTTGTTTCTTGCGTTGAGACGTCTGTCGTTTCATCTGTAAGAACAGTAAAACATTTCGCTTAATTTATTATCTCAACCAATTTCTTCAGCATTATATCATTAATAGCATAAATAATTTCATTTTGTGTTTTTAGTGAGAGGTAAAGTGCATTTTTCGATCCTATTTCTAATCTTTATCTCCAGAATTAGCTCTGAATCTCAGAAGAGCTCGGAAGGTTCCCTTATTTTCAACAGGACAAACTTCTAAATTAAGCTTCCCGTGAACTCTATGGACTCGAAGTGGTATACCCTGCCGACCACAAAACAAAACAGTTTCAATTATTGGTAGGACTGCGTTCATATTTTCAATAATTTGTTGCTGCAGAGCTGTGTTTTGTAGCATCACACTCAGCATCGTGCCTCTTTAAGTTTTTAACCAATCTTCAACCTTAAGTATACAGCGTTTATGATATTTATTATTTTTGTAGTTATTAAATTGTTCCACCGCATTCTTCCATTGTCTGAAAGGCCTTTTTACTAAGACACCCAAAGTCTGCTTCAAAAGACGAAAACAATGAACAATATTTGCAGTTAGCCTTGTCTTCAAACTTGAAGTAGAGCAGCCATTTCCACCTTGACAACCATCCATACTGAAATTTAAGGTTTCAGGCTCCAGATCCCGGAAATTTGAAAATGCATTCAGGAATCCAAGGGTTTTCCATTATCCCTCTTCTTTATTCATCACCAATCTGCAAAAGAATTTGCACTTATTTAGTACAACATCAGTTAATTAAGCGGCATCAGAAAAGTAAAAAATACTATCTCCTCTTTAAACCTTATATTAACCCCGTGAAGCTGCACTAGTTAATTCTTAATTTATTAACTATTTGTTTATGATCAAAATTTTAAATGTATTTTCAAAATTATACCAATATCATTGGTTTCTTCTGATAGACCTAGCTGTGCAACTGGCATGGTTAAACAAGTTAAAGGTACACATACACTTTCATTTACAGAAGCTTGATTTTGTATAGTGCCTTTCTCATTGTTAGTCGCCTCCAATCTGATTTTCTTAAAAAACTTTAATATTGAAGTGTCACCTTTACGTTTTCCCTCATCATTAGGGTTCATATTGAAATTAAAATATATATATATATATATATATATATATATATATATATATATATTAAAAGAAAAGAGGATATTTACTTTTTTATTCCTCGTTGACCGTGAATTGACAGCTGTCAATGGTTAATTTGTCCAATCTGCTATGAGAATTGAATTCAGCGACCTCAAAAACCCAAACTCTCAATGTGAAAAGAGGATATTTACTTTTATATTCCTCGTTGACAGTGAATTGACAGCTGTCAAAGGTCAATTTGTCCAATCTGACATGAGGGTTGAATCCAGTGATCTCAAAAACATTACCCTATATATTAGAATAATTAAAATATGCTTTTGACATCTGTAAATAGTATTGAAAATGAATAGTTTTGCAACGGGTCAGGGGAGCTTTGGCAGCTCCGTAACTGCCAAAATATTCATTTTGGCACTTTGTGCACATGGAGACTTTTGTTCAGGATGACAAAATCTACAACATATCAAAAATTCAGACAATTTGACAGAAACCCAATTTCCATAAGATTATTACGGGGTCCTTTACCCATTTTCACAAATATCTCGGATACGGTCTATTTTAGAGAAATTATGTATAAAACAGAAATAGAAAATTACATCACAAACAACTTTTATTTGATTTTTTTACATTTTGTCAAATTTCTCGAATACGAACCATTTTAGGAACATTTTGTATAAAACAAAAATAATAGAAAATGATATTAACAGTAACTTTTATTTAAAGAATTTTCTTCCCTAAACGTAAATAACCGACATATTTCTTAAAATATAAAAATAACCCCCTATAAAGTACCACCCCCCCCCCCAGATGTTCCGACTCTGCCCAAAATCTAATCCGTTCACCTCTGATCGAAATAAAGCATAAGTTTAAAATTTAAGGTTTTTTCTTTGTCCGTTTATAGTTTTCTTCAAAATTTACACTTTTTCACAAATATCTTGAATACGGTCTATTTTAGAGAAATTATGTACAAAACAAAAAATATAGAGAATTACATCACAAACAACTTTTATTTAAACAATTTTCATAAAAATTTGATTTTTTTACATTTTGTCAAATTTATCGAATACGGACCATTTTAGGAACATTTTGTGTAGAATAAAAATAATAGAGAATATGATTAGCAGTAACTTTTATTTACAGAATTTTTTTCTCCAAACGTAAATAACAGATATATTTCATAAAATATAAAAATGACCTCCCATAAAGTACCCCCAGATGTTCTGACTTTGTCCAAAATCTAATCACTTCACCGCAGGCCGGAATAATGCTTAAGTTTGAATTTTGGTGTTTTTCTTTGTATCGGTTCATGAGTTATGGTGGATACAGACACACAGACAGACACACACAGACATCATCTCGAAAATAGTCAAAACGGATTCAGGGGACCCCAAAATGTAAAAATCCATCAAAAAATGACGGACGCAAAAATCATGATTCCTATACTTTCCTCATCTATATACAGATAGGAAAGTAAAAACCAGTAAAGAGAAAATGATTTTTCAAGACAAAGCTAACTGCAACTGGAGAAATAGAGTGATACAAAGCACGTCTTTTTCAAAAGGGTACTCACAGACACAGAGTATCGACTATGAAGATATTCCCCAGTTTTTACAAATAGTTCAATTAGACTGTTATTAGCCTTATCTGCAAAATTTGGATGGCAAGTTGACCAAATGGACATTGTTACTACTCTTCTTAACCCAAAAATTAAAAGCAGAAATTTATATGGAACTGCCTGATGGTTCAATATGCAAGCTAAATAAATATTTGTATGGGCTAAACCAGGCAAGCAGAGCAAGGAATTAAGAATTAGACTCAGGCCTAAAAGATAAACTTTCAACAATCTAAGAACAACCCCTGTATATATTTTAATTGTACATAAAGCGCATCATTTTAACAGTTTTTATGATATTATATTCTCAGACGATAAGAAGCAAAATATGTATTTAAAAGAAGAACTATCGAAGAGGTTCCAGATAAAAGACCTAGCCTAGGTGAAATTCATTATTTTCTAGGAATTAGAATACAAAGAGATATTGAAGCTGGTACCATTACTAAAAATGCATTAAAGAAATACTAAATATTGTATAATTATTGTTGTTTATGAGTCAGGATTTATGACTGTAAAATTTTATATTATAGGAACTTGTAATAAAATAAACTACACTCACCGACTTAAAATTTATTTATTTAAAAATGCTCTAACTTTCAAATGCGGAGGCTGATTTATTTAAAGTTTTTTAGCAACTTTTAGTTAAAATACTGTAGTTTTAAGATTATTATTCGGACATCTAAAAGTAATTTAGTACAGGGGGGAAAAGAAAACCATTTTTTCCTCTACTTTTGACACACCCTGTAGGTTAATTCTGCTAGTAGATCTGCACACAATTAACTTTATTAAGAAGACTAATTTGTTTTCAACATTATATTTTTTTATTTACCCCGATATCTTAATTTTTTGTGAAATGTTTTTTTTATTCAGTTTTAGCAGAGTAATACATAATTTTATAAACAAATAAACTAATAATTAATACAAATTAATAACGGGTATTTCCCCCACGAGCGCGAATAACTGCCTCAATGCGTCGTGGCATACCCTCTATTAGATGTCGAATCTCCATCTGGTCAATCTGATCCCATTCATGGACCAAAGCATCTCTCAAAAAATTTAAATTACTTGGAGAAGGAACTCGGTTATGAACTCGTCTGCCCATCATGTCCCAGACGTGCTTAATTGGATTGAGGTCTGGGATACGTGATGGCCAGTTCTTCCTTTGAATTACTGTTTCGTCCAAATATTAAGATACAATCCTCGCAATATGTGGTCGAGCGTTGTCATGCATAAACATGAATTCGTTTCCTATAAACGGTGCAAATGGAATTACATGTGGATCTAGCACATCACGAATATATCGGTTAACTGTCATTGGTCCGCCGCCAACAATGACTAAATCAGTACGAGCTTCCATGCTTATGCCGCCCCAAACCATTACTGATCCTCCTCCATAACTGAGTCTTGTGGAAAAATTTGCTTAGTCAAACCTATCGCCTCTTCTTCGGTATATTCTTTCACGGCCATCAGGAGAACGTAAACAGAACCTTGACTCGTCAGAAAATAAAATCTTACTCCAATCATCGTCATTTCAATGTTGATGCTCCCTGGCAAATCGAAGACGTGCTGTTATGTGATTCCTAAGTAACTCCGGACCAGTTGCAGGTCTTCTGGAGCGTAATCCATGTTCTCGTAATCGTCTTAGAATCGTTATTTCGTTAACAGCTACTTGACGTACTTCTTCTAAACGATTTCGAGCCATGACAGCAGTTGTATTTCTTTCTCGCAAAACATTTAATGTTACAAAACGATCATCTCGAACATTTGTGAAACGTCGTCTGCCAGATCCTCTTCGTCTCGAAAAACTACCAGTTTTATTGAAACGTTGTACAGCTCTCTGGACGCTACACCTTGTAACACCCAATATTCTAGAAGCTTAATACTGAGACCTACCGTCTTGTACCAGAGCAGCTGCTCGTGCTGCATCAGTAGGCGTTAAAACCATAATGAATATTTGTTATGCTAATAATTAAACTGCAATTACCAAGTCACGAATATTTGACAGTTGTCATATTGTGAGTTGGCCACAGCACTCTACTTATTTTGTAGTTTATTCTTTACCGTCATTTAAATTATGACTGTTTCTAAAGTGCAGCATTTTCTTTAAACCGTTACATTTCACAAACAAATTAAGATATCGGAGTAAATAAAAAAAAAAGTGTTGAAAACAAATCAGTCTTCTTGATAAAGTTAATTGTGTGCAGATCTACTAGCAGAATTAACCTACAGGATGTGTCAAAAGTAGAAGAAAAAATTGTTTTCTCTTCTCCGCTGTATATGCGGCGAGTACTAAATTACTTCTGAATAATAATCTTAAAATTACAGTATTTTATCTAAAAGTTGCTAAAAAATTCAAATAAATCAGCCTCCGCATTTGAAAGTTAGAACATTTTTAAATAAATTATTTTGAATGAATCGAATTTTAAGTCGGTGAGTGTACATTCCGTAAGATACATATTGTGACTAGTTTACAATAAATATTATATTTAGACAAAAATACAATTTTTTACTTACATTAGAAGCTTTAAAAAGACATGGAATTTACTTGTCCTTGT